ATAGTTATATTATGTTGTAAACACTTTACTAAAAGGTGGAGGCTGGTAAGGACAAATCCTCTTAGCTTCCAAAAAAGTTATATTTGACTTTTAACAAACAAATACTACTTCTTTGCTCGCTTGAAGGAGATGACCTATTCGAAGTCTGTTTTTTTTATGTATTTACTATATTTATTTCGTTTGTCTTCTTTACTCTTTTTTTATGCTGGGCCTTTGCGTCAACTTTTTGCGTTGAGGAATGAACAGATTTAATATATTCAATTGTTAAAAATCCAAGTTCAGCCACCAAACACGAAAAGTCGGCGCTAACATCCAATTAATTTATTGGATCTGAGTAGTAGGTAAATGCGTCTTTGATGTCGAATAACAAAAGCCATTATATTATCTTTTTTAGTAATAATAAGTTGTGTAAGCCTATAAATTTCACTCCACTTTTCCTATTCTGTTGATAACCGTTACTCGTAGAGCAAACGGAGTATATGTAACATTTTGAGAACTTTTGTACGAATACATAATACTCCTTTAGCTCTACGAATAATGGGTACTAGAAAATGTGTTTATTGTGCATGGTTTATTCTTAGTTACCTTCAATAAAATGTCTAGGGTTTTAAGATATTCAGATTCATTCCGATATACAAAGCTCAATGTTTTACTGCATACTTTTAGCCACCTTTAAAAGTTAATGTAAATCCCATTGATTTCCATGCATCCCGAGAGGAGTACAAGTTTTCTATAATACCTATTTTCGTTTCGTTTTGAAGGATGGCTTTCAAAATATCATTTCATGGAACTGGGCCACGCTTTTTCTCGGTATAACCTTGGTACCTTTGAAGCAGTGCCTTTACATTTCGCTCAGTGGAAAGTGGGAAACTTAACGGGACTCGCTCCGAGGAAACCTCTTAAAGGAGCTCGAATTTCATCTCGACAAGCGTAATTGAACTTCCTCCTCCTGTGTGCATGTGCCTGTGTTTAAAAGCATTCAAGAAACTAATAGGCTAAATTAAGCGCGTTTAAGCGCGACAAGGAATAAAAATGCGTTTTGCAATCAAAGTAAAAACGTAAAAAAAGATATATAAAAAAGAGTCGGGAGAGCGTGTAAGAAGGGTGACTTTTAGAAGGGGCTTTCAGAAATGTTTAACGGCGCACGCAGACATCACAAAAGAAATATAAGGGGGCGGATAAAGGGGGGCGTGGGCGTGGGCGGGGGCGGGGGCGGAAGCTAGTGCTCCAAGTAGTGGGCGTGGTGCAGCCGCAGGAACGAGCAAAAAAATGACAGCAGCATCAGCTAAATGAGTTGAAGGACGAAACAGGCGAATGGGGGTGATATCAAAGTCCTGGCAAAATGGCGCCAGCTGGTTGTTGGTGTGAGGGGGGTTTTGGTTTGAGGGGGGAGGGGGAGGGGTAGGACGAGCACTTTCCAAGCACCCAACCATTTTCATTTTGCTTTCCCTTAATCGTAGGTTAGGGAGCTATATACTTTTGCATCAAAAGTTTGATTAACATTGTTTTGTATATATAAAACCTTATAGATGATAGTAAAGACTTATAAGAATTACAAGAAAAACGTTAATTAACTGGCCACATATATTTACTTTGATACAAAAAAAATTTAATTTGAAAATTAGTATTTTTTTTTAATTATCTGGCTTAAAAACATAGCAAATGGAACCCTACAGCAAATTAAAATAAAAACCCTTGCCGCGCCTTTTGGGTATGCTACATATTTTCTGTTAGTATAAAGAAGGGTATCTTCTAGTCGCAACACTCGGATGAGGCGGTAATAGTCGTTTCATTTTGCCTTTTTTGTCTTTCGCATTTTTTAGCCCTATTCTGTTCCTTGAACTTTTCCCTTTTTACCAATGTTCTCCGTTGCTTTTTTTTTGCTCTTTGCTGCTGTTGTTCTTGTTGTTGGGCGCTTTTTCTGTTGCGGCAGCTATTTGAAAATTTTTAAAAGATGCTTTTAGCGGTAAATAATGAAAAGTTAAAAAGCCACATCAATGAGATACATTTTTCTTACTTTTCTTGCAAAGTGATGGTGAGGTGGTTTTTTTTGTTGTTTTCCTTTTTCCTTCGACCCCCATATGTATGCCTTTGTGTGTGTGTGTGTGAAGGAGTCCTGGCGAAGGACTCTACTCTCTAAAGCCATCATCAGTGAAAACAACAGCAAGACAAAAATTGAAAGATGTCCACCCAGGGTGGACAACTACAACATCAATAAATAAGGCAAAAAAGCCTTGGTTTTCCTTTTTTGGGTTTTTGCCTTGGCTTTTTGCTGGCTTTGTTGGTTGCAAATAGATAGAAATGGAATAGATGGATAGAAGCCTTAATTGATGTTATGATGATGATCACCATCAACAGCCAGAACCCCCACCCCCCCTTGCCATTTTGCCATTGCAATCCCTGTGTTCAGTGATATGTTCTTTGTGGCCAACGCTGCGTATGAGTAACATGCGAGCAGAGAGCAAAGGCAAGCTTGCCTGTGGCCATGTGGGGGGGGGGGGGGGGGTATAGGGGTGATAATGGTCGGTGGGTGGTGGGGGTCCTGGCGGCAGGATGTGCAGTGGCTGTGGCCAACAGTTCGCCTGTGTGCGTGTGTGTGCACAGATACAATTTGTAATGATACACAAATTAGTATCCTAAATGGATGCTTAATAGCCTGCTTCACTGCCTCGTTCCCTCCACCCCCCTTTTCCCTCATCCCCCCACCCATGTCTCCTTAACTGTGTGTGTGTGTTTTTGACTTTGGGAAAGTACTCGCCCACCGAGAACACTTAGTTGTCTGTGTGTCGGATGCCCTTTGACCTAACACTCTGCCTTTAAGTTCAATCTTAAAGCTTGGCTATTTTTATCGCATAAAAAAAGCGAAAATTGGCAAATAAAAATACATTTTTAAAACAGTCGGTCTTTAAGCTGTGCGCCTCGTTTTGACCAAGCTACGATTGAAAAACAGCAAGAAATATTTTATATTTATTTGTATCCGAAGGATTTATCGACAGAACAACACTAAGTGTTTGGATAAAAAACTAATTTTTTGAAATGAGTCAAGAACTCATGGGGACTAGCTCCAAAAATCGGTTTGCCATTGGAATCTAAAGCCAAGTCCAAGTCCAAGTTATGACAAAGAAATCTTACTCTTTAGAAGTTTGGATTTTAAACAAAACTTCCTTACTTTCTGCACAAAAAAATCTGTTTTGTGCCTAAAAGTAGAATATAAGGAATAATATTATTATAAAACATATGAAATGTATTACAATGATGAACTTGTAACAAAGTTTCTTAAAGGCTTTAACAAAAAATCTGGAATTCTTTTTTTTATTCTCTTATCGAAATATCATTATAAAAATCTCATTAAATGTGTTACATAAAATTGTAAACAGCTCTTTAAATTATTGTATGCCCTTTAAATACAAATTGTATACCAAAGATGGGCTAGTAAACTGATAAATGATATTAGTAGATCATAAGTTGCATGTCCTTAAAAACCACCTAATATAACAAGAAGACATTTTTAGGGGAAATTCCTTTAAATGTTATACATTTACCTAAATGTTTGTCTTTCAGCTGCCATTTTTTTAATGAAATTATTTCTCTTTCCTTAGCTTATTAAAATCCAAATCATTTAGCTACAGCGAACTTGTGCAGATACATGTGTGTGTTGGTCTTGTGTCCAGTTAAAGACTTTTTTTTTAATATTCTTGCCCAAGAAAAAGTTTTAATCATTTCGACCCAGGCCCGAATAAAAAGGATGGGGGAGGGATATCCGATGAGTGGCCCATTTGGGCCCCATTTGCGGAACGCCTTAAAGAGGAGACCTACTACTAGGAGTGCCCATCCTTCGGCTGGAAAATGTTCAACGAGGAGCTGGAACTTGGTGCCACCAAACAAAGCCAAACGAAAGCAAACGAAACCATACGAAACCGAAGGAAAGCAGACAGGCATTTGGGGACTTTCAGCTGAATGTATTGTTTTAAGGATGGCAGGGATACGAAGGACGAGGTGGATAGACAGCTGGCTTTCCATGGCTCTTCTCGCTTTTCTGGCGCTGCGCAACGAAGGAAAGTGGCAGGAAAACCGTGAGGAAAAGCGGCAACAGCGCGTCGCTGCCATCGTTGACGTCCTGCGTCGTCCTGTGTCATCGACACATTTAACAAGGATTAATTCATTGCGCAGCAGCGGCAAAAATAACAACAGAAAGGGGGACTTTTGGTGGCCCCTCTCTGCGGGCTCAACTCCATTTTGCTGGCCACCGATTGGCTGAAGGCCTTTCCCCGTAAGGATACCGAGTGTTGGAGCGGCACAACTAGTGTTCCGCAATGCAGGACATCACTGCCTCTGCCGACGTCGCCTGCCAGCCTATGGCCATCTCTTTCCCCACCACCAGAGTGCCGTCTCTCTTTTCGCTCTCTCTCTCTTTTGGCCCGTGTGCTTTGGCGCAACTCGGCATTCGACTGGAGTCGCCAGCTGGAGCAGCCTCTTCAGGATTAAGGTGGTCCAAGCAGGACCAAGTGGACCTGGGCCGACTACCACTCGATCGCATAAGGATTCGGATTGGGGACTCGGTGGAACTTGACCAAGTCTTGTTTACTTTCCGTCGGAACTAGGCTAGGAAGCTTGAATTTCAGCTGTTTCTGCTCCGCATCCTGGCTTCTGTGAGGCGTACGGCTCACTGAATCCGATTCGAAATCGAATTCGGATATTCGGACTCCGATTGTGACTCCGATTCGGAGTGCACCACTACAGTTAGAGGGGAACAGAGAGTGCAGCAATGGCGACGACTAACGCAATTAACCAAGCAGGATAAAGCGAGACGGCAAGCGAGATTCGCTAGTGTGTGTGAGCGGGACAACAGCGGAACTCTCCCCTCTCGCTCTCGCTCTTCCATTATTTTTTGAAAATTATTAGTACGACTAACGATTCGTGGTCTCGGCAGCACACAGACATTGCACACACACTGCGAAAGTCGGAGGCAAAACCACCAATCGTTCGCGCGCAGCCCGCAAATGTCCCCGCAGCAGGACATATACATGTACGTTTATATATATTTATAGAGAGTAATACGAAAAAGGAACCACCACCACTGGGAGGACGAAACAGGGATAGGAAAATCAAAAGCAGAAGGACGAGCAGCGACGGCGGCGTCTCTGTTGTCGAGCACATGATCCTTAATTTCGTTATAATTTTGTATGTTGCCTGAAATTGTATATCATTTTAAGTTTGATCGGCCGAGAATACGTATCGCCGTAACGCCAGCGTTAACCATCCAGCAACAACAACAACAACAACAACAACGAAAACGAACCATAACAAAGGACCTCTGAGAGGAATAACAATAATAAAAAAAAAATTAAAGCGCAAACGAAAAAACAAGGACGAGACGAAATTTGTTATCATCTTGAACTCGCGCACTCACCCAAACACGCACACACGCATACAAATACGGCGAAAGGACTTTATCTTGTTCTTCCTCTTGCTCCTTCCTGGGGAGCAGGACGAGCTGTCAAAAAACAAACAGCCATAGTTGCTCCAGCGGCTCCTGGCGAAGCGGTACTCAAAATTAACGATACGGTAACGAAACGATCCTATGGTTCGCGGTACCGGTACGGTCCTTGATCATCTCCAATCCTATCCTTTGTAATATATGTAGAGCAAATGGGATATAACCAACTACTACTGGATATATAATACAGACAGATCTGTTTTTTTTTTTGAATGTGTCGTGCCAAAGTGATTCTATACCATCACAAGTTCTCCTTTGCCGTCGGGCAGTTAACCAGTTTCAGTTCTTAAGCAGAGTGTCATATTAGTGAAATCGCATAGTATCGAACACCATATACTAAACATATATATACTATATATTCCGAAAGGCCTTATCTTTAAAGGCCCCAACCCCCCACCAAAATTCGATCTATTAAAACGGGAGCGCGTTCGCCGCGAGACAGCTTCCAGTTGGATTATTCAATCGACTTCTTCAAGACGTATATCGATACGCAGCGTTTCTACGCCGGCCACAAGTTGGATTTCAAACATCAGAGTTGTGCCGGCGGCCCTGGTTCCGGTGGAGCCTCCTCCGGAGGAGTCGTCGTCGGCGGCACCAGCAACAACAACAACAGCAATCTAACAGCAGCAGCAACAGCTGTGCAACAACAGCAACAACAGCAGCAGCAGCAACAACAGCAGCAGCAACAGCAACAGCAATCGAATAGCAACGGCAGCAACTCCTCGGTGGCCTTGTCCCTGGCCCATCCGCACGCCCACGCCAGCCACGCCCACAGCGGCCACGCCCACGGCAGCCACGCCCACGCTCTAGCGATAGCCCACGGTCATCACGGATTGCTGCCGTCGGTGCTGCCGCAACAGCAACAGCAGCAGCAGCAGCAACAACAGCAGCAGCAACAGTTACCGCCGGGCGTGGGTGTTGCAAGTCCGCTGCAACAGCAACAGCAGCAGCAGCAACAACAGCAGCAACAGCAACAACAGCAGCAGCAACAACTAATCAACAACGGAGGCGGCGGAACACCCACTTTGCTCATCGGCAACGGACCCAGCTCATCCGGAGCGGGACAGGGATCTTCGGTGTCCTCCGCCGCCGCAGCAGCAGCAGCAGCGGCCGCAGCAGCCGCCGCCGCCTCCTCCTCCTCCGCCTCCTCGTCGCTGCCCCACGTGGCGCCCCATAGCCTGGGACTCAGTCCGCAGTCCAGCGCCGATTCGCAGCAGTTCAACATCTTTCCGGCGATCTTTAGCCGCCAGCTGAACTTCTCGGCCGGCGGACAGGCGGGCAAGCTGAGCATGGACGAGCTGCGTCCGAACCTGGTCGGCGGACTGCTGGGGCTGCAGCAGGGCCTGCTGGAGGATCATGCCAGCATGCAGCACGGGGGCGTGGCGCAGGACACCAAGTTCATGTCGTTCCAGGACCAGCGGCTGATGGGCATCGGCGGATCGGCGCACGAGAACCGGCTGCTCAGTCTGGCCAGCTCGGTGCAAGACACCCGTTCGCCGATCACCACGCTGGAGAAGTCGTCCTCCTCCTCGCTGAACCACCAGCGCAAGTGCAGCAGCACGCCCGAGGACTTCAGCGCCCTCTACTCCGGCCTGCCCACGCCGGGCATGGACTCATCCTCGCACCACCACACGCCGGCCCACACGCCGCCCTCGCGCCTTTCGGACCACACAATCTCGGGTGAGTGTTGCTAATCTCGGTGTCGGGATCGGGACGGGGATGGGGATGGGGAAGGGGAAGGGGATCCCTAATCTGGCCACAATGGCCCTGGCCATTAGCAGGAAATTACCCTTTGGCACCCCTTTCTTCCTCTTTTTGTTCCTCTTCCCGGTGACTGCAGGGTCCTTTGTCATCCGCCTGTTTGTTGATGCTCCTTTGCAGCTTCCTATTACCGCTCCCTTTGTACCCAGCTTATCCGCCACCGCTGGCCACCACTCTAGTGGAGATTACACAGCGGGACAGCAGGACAGCTGGACAACCTCTAATCCAAGCACACTTAATTCGCAATAAAACCAATGAGGCTTTGGGACATTAAAGGATATAAGAAAGCGAATACCCTATTGTTGTTTGGGTATAGCTGGATGGGTTATGGACTCTTTTAAAGATAATCGATTGACGATTTAACACATGAGTTTTGAGCAATATTTGAATAGGAAAATGTTATATATTGATCTTGCCCTAAGATCACCTTGAAGCCAAAAAATGCATTGGAAAGTATGCCGCTTAACCAAAGCGTACAAATTTCTTTAAACGTATTCTTACAAACAATTGATACAACATATTTTTAAAAAGTTTGAAAAGCCTAAAAACTCTCAATATAAAATTTGGCAAATCTAACTTTTTATGTTAGCCCCATGTCAAGATAGGAATTTTATCTGATCAGGTTACTATATTCTATACTTACCATAAAGAGATAAGGATCAAATATGCCAAACTTTGTGATATGTTTGTCACATTTCATTTTATCAAATCTGTAAGAAAGTTAAAACTTTATTTCTTGTATGAAATATAATTCTTAGCTTACCTTGAGCAATAACTGGAAATATATTATTTAATAAACAATATTGTTCTGGATGAATTGCATCTGTGAGTCCAGTTCCAACTTGAAGACATCCCTACAGAGATACATATCTTCTTTAATCGCTCTACAAGAAGGTTAGAACTACAAAGTTCATCTGCTGAAACTTCTGGGCAAGTGAACTGGGCCATATCCCCTAAATAGGTCATGTATGTAACCACGGAGGGAATCAACTTTTTTAACATTATTGATGACGTAAATTTAATTTAGTAAATTTCAGTATTATCAAATTTATATTAGTTGAACATAATTCTAACAATATCAAAGACTTAACAATCAAGAACCTACAACAGAATTAAAACTTGCCATTGCGAAATTAAATAACATAAATTCACCATACAACAAATAATTTGCAACATACATCATGCAATGTTGTGGTTTTTAGTTTGTTGTTGGTTGTAAGTTGCATGTTTTATAAAGTTAAACTAAGGTATGTGAAATATTATTGACATTCGCAAAAGGCCACGTCATCGATAATGTTAACTAAGAAATTATCCCCTCCTTAGATGCTTATAATTCCCAAATAGTTCTGGCCTACCAGTCATGACCTAGGTGCTGTGGTAGCTGAAAAATCAGTTAGTGTGTCGGTTTTTGTGTAGTGATTACAGGAGATATGTGCGATGTCACCATGTCGGATCTGGATCCCAGGACGCAGTGCATCGACCGCCTCTCCCAGTATGTTACCTAATTAAGTATTAGTTCATTAAATTAAATATTTTTACCAACTCTTTAGTTAATCAATTACTGTTAGATTTATCCTATTTCGGTCATATTTATAAATATGGTGGCTTTCATAAAAACCTTTTTTAGTAAACACACACACATATGAACATAATTAATAAACTTTCAATAAAGTCGAACCGTGAAAAATCAAGAATGCTACACAAATTTCTTCCCACCAAATTCCCTTTAAAATTGAATGGACTTTCGGTTTGAAGAAATTTATGTAACGTTCCGCTGTTTTATAAAACTCGAATAAAAAGTCAATTCAACTTTTTTTAAGAAATGTGAGTTACATGAACGTGTTCTGATAAGATCATTCCGATTTGTAAATTTTATGTAACACAGGTTATACCGAAAGTTTAATCCTTCCCACGTGGGCTCGAGTTATCTGAAAAAATAGAATTAATGACTCCACCTTCACATCACCAAAGGCGAAAAATTATAGAACTGTTTATCCTTCAACCTGTTGGCCATCGCTGAAATTATTAAGTCGTTTTAGTCCGAGCTTGCATAGGAGGTACAACCTCTTAACTTTCAAAAACTTCCCTAATAGATATTTCTGTAACACTGCAAAATTTAATTCTTAGACGATAGTTGCTATACCCCGAATTATTTAGCTCGGAACCGATTGCGATAGTTGTTTCTAAGCAATCAGAAAATCCATCTTAAGATTTTTAGACAACAATATGAATTGAGCAAAGTACAATAATTAAGTTTCAATTGAAATAGGTTCGTAATAATAATGATATTTAAGGATCCAGATGTCAATGTGGGGAACGAACAGAGTTCGGCGAAGGATAAAAAATAAAGATAAAAAACTTGCGCAGTCATTAAATTAACTTACTAAATCGTTGCGTTCTAAGCACAGACAAAAGATTAAAGGTCTATTTTCTAGTCAATATGTAAATCAATAAGCAGGTTTTAAACGCTTAATTTGTATACGCTTTCTTAGTCTTAATTCTACTTTCAACTCAAGGTGTGGAAAACTTGTTGTTTTAATAATGTTAACAGCTGAAAAGAGAACTATGTGATACAAATTGTTGCCATGGGAAAAATAAGGCCTTCTCGGCTAAAATATTTTCCAACTTAATTTAGTACCTTTAACCTATAGAAAAAACTGGGCGAATGACTTTATGATCAAACTCAAAAGGTAGTGAAAAAGGTTCGTTTTACAACTACCTTCCAACAGTGGCAGATTTAAGATTTGTCTATGGGGAGTTTTCGAAAACATTTTTTTAAAATTCTTTTTGGATACCACACTTGCTTTCGCTTTTAACCTGATTAGGAGTATTTGTCTCCCAAACTGTTGTTTAAAAGCTTTTAAAGATCCGTTTTCTGTTTATACAAAATAGGTTTACGAAATCATTATTATGGCTGACCGATAGGTGGACTGAATCACAAAAATATCTGCTTATTTTGGTTGGAAGAAGTGTGTGCGCTATATAATTAAAGTTCCCCCAGAACTTATTGCAGTAATGTACAAATTTAAGTACGCGCTTTTAATAGATAAAATATATATTATGTATTGCATCTCGAACAAGGAATACCATTGTGAATTTACACGTTAGAAACCAGATGTCTTTAAAAAAGACAGTGTTCTGTGGAAAAGCTTATGAAAGATATTGTTTATATGCATGTTTGGAGTAAAATAGACTTATTCAGGGGTGTGTACAATGTACACGGAAAGGAAACTCACGCCAGTTCAACGATTGTCCGATTTCAAAACTTTTTATTTACAATTTATATAAATGAATAATTGTGTTATAAGACTATAAGCACATGGCCCTATTAGATTGGTATTAACAAAAAAAAACAAAACAAAGGCTAACGAATGTTTTTAATTTTTAAATCCCGACGAAGAAAATGAATGGGATTATCTGTTCCGCCGAGTTTTGCACTTGGAATACCCTATTATTTTTATTTGACGTGTGCGGGATTAATTGACCCTATTTGCTTGTGCAACAGGCGCCAGGAAGGAACATCCGACATCCATTCAACTCCTAACACCCAACAAAGCCACACCCACAACGCAAGGTCAATTGCATTAGACGGCGGGCGGTTTTGAAGGTTTCGAAGGTTTTCGGAGGACGAGATGGCGGCAAGGTCCTTACTTAACATAAATACCGGTACTCGCTTCATTTTATTTGTGTTTGTGATTCAATTAGGAGGACGGTATCCAGAACATTTTCAACATAGTTTGCATTTTGTTAACGAGCTAAGCGCGTCAATTAAGCGCCAAAGGCCGAGGAGTCGAGGTGGAAAATGTGAAATCCGAAATGCGAAAGTACCAGAGTGCCCTACTTTGACCTTTGGCCCGTTATTTGGCCACCTTTAGCCGCCTTTTTGGCCGGCACGCGTCGTCACAGGGGTACAGGTGACGGCCTGGTAGGACCGGGATCAGGACTCTCGTCCTGCAGCCAGGCTGCCTCGATTAATGTGCCAGAAATTTGCATAAATTATCCCATATTGCATATTCATGCGACCGCCGTCGTCTGTCCAAGTCGCCGCTTTTCACCTTTTTACGACAATGGCAGCGTCTTGTGGCCGCAGTGCGGTGATGGCATGTCCTGGTGTCCTGGTGTCCTGGCATGTCATGGTATCCCCTTGGCCTCCCCCTGATCTCCCCCTGGTCCTGGCAATTATGCAGCATTTTGCGGGAACTTAAACAACCCACGCATACTAAACAGGAAAATTATTATAACAACGCGCATGTTTTTCGGTTTTTGGTATCCTTGCAGCGGAAGGCGCCTTCAAGAAGCTCAAGCCGGAACCCAACAGCGGCCTGTCCACGGTTTCCGCCGGCATCACCTCGCCAGGAAGTGGATTATCATCGCTCAGCCAGCACGCCGGCCACACCCCAACCACAGCGTCCTGTCCAACGCCCGCCAGGCGGAGACATCGAACCACATTCACACAGGTCAGTTTTCAGTGCTGGTGGAGCCCAAGGATCCCCCAGATCCCTCCTAAGTACCTCTATCCCCCTCCCCTCGCCGGCTGAAATCCTAATTGGATTTCGTGAAGGTTACTCGTAATTAAAAACTTTGATGCCACAAGAGCACCGGCGACAACCAACAACAAAAGGGTACTTGGGCAACCAAGTACCTGGCTAAAAACAGGCGAAGCAAGGTGTCTAATAGAGTCCAGACGATGGATAGCAAAAGAAAGAAATAAAACTCTCTGTCACCTACGTTCATAAAATTGGTTAGGATTGTAAAGGATCGAGAACTAGTTTGAAACCTACTTAATATATGGCTTTACATTTGAAAAACTAATAAGTGGAAAAACTTATCTGCCTTTTAAAATCAGCTGTCACTTAATCGATTCGACAAATACTTAACAGAGAGTTCTTGCAAGACTTTTAAGCTCTACCATTGACGCTAGAGAAAACCAAATTTCTTAAGAGGGACTTCATCTGTCGAGTAATGTTAGCCGGCACTTGAGAAACCGGACCTTAATGAAAAAGTTTATTCTTCCTTTTTCGGTTATGCAATTTAAGTAACTATGATTTTCTATATATTATGCATAATTGTTATTTACCCGGAAGCGGTACATACGAGCATTAATCAAATTTCTTGTGAAAGCAAAGTGAACATCAGTCTAGGTTCCATAACTTGAACATCCATGTATCTAGTGAAATTTTCCAGATACAGAGTCTTCTCACCAGACCGAAAATAAACTGTATATGTTAAATGTTTTGTTACGTTTTTCAATACTTGACTTGACTTGCGGAGATAGAATTATTAAAAAATGTGACTGTGTAACTTATGAAGTGTTTTTATGTGAGCGACCGTTTAAAATAGTTGTCAATTAAAATTGAGCTCACTTTTAAACGAAATCCGGATAGATGGCTTTTCCGAAGGGGAAATTCGCCGAAAAGATAGGATTTAATAAGGAGAAACAAGGGAAGCTGGGGAATAAAAAAAATCACCGCACACCGAATTCGCCTAATTAAAATCCGCTTAATTTCAGGAACAATTAGCGGAACTGGAGGCAGCGTTCGCCAAATCGCATTATCCGGATATTTACTGCCGCGAAGAGCTGGCGCGAACAACAAAGCTGAACGAGGCGCGGATTCAAGTGAGTAATGCCCTCCAATCAACAGTTCCAGCTCCACAAAACAGACCCGAATCCCTTATCCCATATCCCATATCCCAAATACCAATCCCAAACCAAAACCCATTCCAATTGCTCGCAAGGAGCGGAGCCAATTACTTCAATTTCAATTTCAACAGTTGTTCGTGCCAGAGTCACAATGTGCGAACAGAATCCCGGGTGCCCTGACCGATATAGTTTGGGATATATCCTGCTGATGGACCGCTGATGATGGTGGTGATCTTGGTCACCGATTAGCGTGCGATTATTCCGACTGACTGGCTCGCAGTGGTGTTGCTCTCAAGTATTTTTCGGTCATATCTAAAGCCCTGGAACCCCTGACAATCCCCGAGAATCATTGAAAACCCCCTGGTCCGCATTGCCAAGCTCTCGGTTCGATAGTTCTCCTCGGGTGCGCTTTCAAGTGCGCCGCGGTAATAATTAATTTATAGTTTTATCATGACTGCTAGACAAGTGGGTTTCGGCGGGTGGTGGGCAATTGCTGGGGAGTAGGAAAATCAGGGAGTAGGAGGGTTGACGACTCAATCAGCTATGTCACATGTTCGCCCAAAGGCAGGCACTCCTGTCTCTGCGGTGTCGAGTTACAGGGATTTCTATTTTAGCAGCCTTTTTAGAAAGTACTTTTCAGCAGGTCCCTTATAGTCAGCAACAGAACTCCGAATATCTATCAAGAGAATGTGTACAAAAATAGTTGATCTAATCATACTTATTCCCATGCTCTAGAAAGTCTTAAGATACCAAGAACTTATTAAATTGTAGATATGTGAGTAAAAATTATGGACTGATCGACTATTAACCTGAATAGCTTTACTAGCCTTGTTTAAATGAGTTTCTATAAAACGAAAGTATTTTACGAAAGCCTAATATAGAATACTATTATCAGAAACCTAAGCACATTTTATCTACTTCAAGCCCTCGAATGTCTTAAGCAACAAGAACATATTTAAATATAGAGATTTGAGGCAAATATAGCATTGTTAGTCTAATTTCAATTATTTTTTTTTTAAACCAATGATAAAAAAAGGTTCTTAAAGTGATTAGGATCGTTAGCATAGGAAGCAAGCTGTTCAAAACAGTCGGTCTTTTAGCTGTACGCCTTGATTTAACCAAACTACGATTGAAAAACTGGAAAGATAAATCGTATTTTTGACTAAAATCTGAATCTTGTATTTTTGACTAAAATCGGAACTCTATTTTTTCGCCCTAAAAATTCAGTTTTTTGGCTGCTACAAAGAAAATAAACCTCAGATCGAAGAGTGTCATACCTCGTTGAGCTCGTAGCTCGGCATTAAAACCTGAAAATTTTTAACTTTTCACATTTTTCGCAAAAAAAGACGATACACCCCCTTACAAAAAATGATAAATTTGGTCAAAAAATAGATTTTCCTTAAAGTGATTAGGATCGTTAGCATAGGAAGCAAGCTGTTCAAAACTGTCGGTCATTTAGCTGTACGCATTGATTTGGCTAAACTACGACTGAAAAACCACTAAAAAATGAGATTTTTTGACTAAAATCTGAATCCCAAAAAAAGATGATGCAACCCCTTACAAAAAATGAAAAACTTGGTCAAAAAATAAATTTCCTTTAAAGTGATTGGATTTGTTAGCTTAGGATGTCAGCTGCTCAAAACTGTCGGTATTTTGTCTGTACGCCTTGATTTGGCTAAACAACGATCGAAAAACCGTTAAAAAATTGGCATTTTTGACAAAAATCTGAATCCCAAAAATAGATGATGCAAAAAATGAAAAAATGGGTCAAAAAATAAATTTCCTTTAAAGTGCTTGGATTTGTTAGCCTAGGATATAAGCTGCTCAAAACTGTCGGTCATTTGGCTGTACGTCTTGATTTGGCTAAACTACGATCGAAAAACCGTTAAAAAATCGGTATTTTTGACCAAAATCTGAGTCCCAAAAAAAGATGATGCAAATCCCTTACAAAAAATTAAAAAATTTGTCAAAAAATAAATCTTTCTTAAAGTGATAGGAATCGATAGCAATTGAAGCAAGCTGTTCAAAACAGTCGGTCTTTTAGCTGTACGCCTTGAATTGACTAAACTACGATTGAAAAACTGGAAAGAAAAATCGTATTTTTGACTTCTTTGCAAAAAAAGACGATGCAGGAAAGTACCATATAAAACTTACAAATACCTATATCATTAAAAACTTGTTAGAATTATTAGGACATTTGGCATATATTTTCCATACTGATCGAAATCATTATAAATTACTGCAATTATTACAAGGATACCCTTGTAATCAGCACATCCATTTGCCCCTGCCCCTTTCTTTTGGAACAACTGTTCTCGGTCAAATTAGACACTGTAAACCAGAGAGCAGAACAAAAAAAGCCTTGTCGGTCTATTATCGCCGCATAAACCATATTTTTCAGCAAATGTTCAAATATTTACCACGCAACACCCTTACGGAGAAGAACGAGTACCGCCTCCACCACCCCCCGAATTTGCAGCCCTATAGGGATATTTGTACCCCCTGGTAATCCGACGATTGCTCGCAACTTGACTCTGGCACTCAGCGCCCTGCAAAGAAAACAGCGTGTTGACAAATTTTTCGTGTATACATTCTACTGAAAGCGGGAAAATTGACGCTCATCTCGTACTTTGGATGATGATGAGGGAAAGACGATGACGATGATGATAATAATGTTGACGGGATGATGAGGTGGGCGGGAATGGGGGCGTTCCTGGGCACATCTGCTTGGAAAATCCATCAGCCAACAATAAGTATGTCTCAAGTGCAAATTTTGACTGCATTAGAACTTAATTGTTAAGTGCGAATAAACTATTCAATACTTATATATATAAGTAAATAGTTTCTTAATTGTATATATGTAGGTTAAACTTATAGCACTAGCTATTTGAAGCTAGAAGAGATAAAAGATTAACTTATTCCACCTAAAAACATTTGTCTATAAGAATAATAAAATTGTAGAAAAAGCCTTCTATATTATAGTTAGTTGTATATTCAGTTATACCCGTTACTCGTAGAGTAAAAGGGTATACTAGATTCGTCGAAAAGAATTTAACAGATACAAGGAAGCGTTTCCGACACCATAAAGCATATATATTCTTGATCAGGATCACTAGCCGAGTCAATCTAGCCATGTCCGTATTTATCATACACTAGTTTAATATTGAGCATGGCTCATCACGACCTTTAAACAATATGTATTTGTTGCCATCCTCAGAAAAGTTACTAAAACTAAATAAATTGAAATTTCAATCTTTACCCTCTACTTATAAGAACTCACATAGCCTGAAAAGAAAACAAATAAGAGTGATATTATCCGGAGAACTTTTCATAACACTTTTTTTTTATTGTTAAAGTAAAAGTCCTACCTTAACGGATATTTCTGACTGATAAATTAAAGTCAAGAAACTATCTGTTAAAGATGACCTTCATTTTAAAAGTGATCACTGTTACAGTCGCGATGATTAGATTATTTTTCACTGTAGATATGTGTAGACCTCGGCGGATTATGTTGATGAAAAGGCAAGAGGGGTAATCAGAGTAAAGCAGAAATTCTGGACTCGTAAACAAACAATCGTCAGAAATGAAAGGTCTGCGACTATATTGATTTCACCAGCTTACTGTTTATTTGTAGTTATGAGGCGCAAGTTTTTGTTTTTAGGGGAAAGGCGCCACTTGCTATGAGATCTTCGGTATTTGTCGCCGATTCGCAGTAAACATAAACATAAACATAAGGGGTAGACAAAATTGGATATGCCTAATGTCATATTTCAGGCCCTCAAATGAAACTCCATTGAAAAAACAGTGTGTGTTTCCAGGAAAGTTAGTCACCCGTTGGCAATTAGTCACCTTTCGCATTTGTAGGTCACCGATGGTGGAATCTCCAATCCCCCATTCCCATCTTTCATCCTCCATCTCCCACCTGCAACCTGCAATCTCCTCCTGCTAAAAAGTTTATCTAACTTCTCCAACAAACGGAACAAAGGCGAAAAAATAGGAAAAAGTGCAGAATCGAGACAAAAACTCAAAGCGCTGTGTGGTAAAAAAACAAAAAATTAAAAAAAAAATGCGAGTAAAAAACAAACGTTGGCAGCGGCTAAATTTGATTAAATGCTGAAAGTAAATTCAATTTGAATACGTTTAATTTTCATATTTCCGCCGTGGCCGAGTGGCTAATGTGTGTGTGTGCCTTTTGACCATGGTTATTTGTACTCCATAATTTGCCTCGGTATAATTTAAGTTTTTGGCTGCCTCATAAACAGGCAAACTTAAAGATCTGGGAGACCCACCAAACTCATTGGAGGCTAGCAAAAATGTTGGCTAAAATCGAATTTCCCTTCGATTTTGTTTGTTCTTGTTTGGCCCGTGGATGTATGAGCATACATATGTACGTTTGAGAGTGTGCCATCAAATGTATCCTTAATTGAGTTTCCCCACCCAACTACACATCCACCCACACACATTCAGCTGGCTCTGAAATTGAACGACAGATAGACAGAGCTCCATCGAATCATTCCGACAACGCATTTTCCACCCTCAAAGTGGAGCTACAATCCATACCATACCATCCGTACCATCCATACCATCCGTAGCATACCATATCCATGGTATACCATACATGGCTGATGGTTAAGAGCATTATTTTGCAGGGCAGCATTTTTCTGCTGGCAACAGCAGCCAGCCAACCAAACGAAACCGAACGAGCCATAAAGTGGGCGCTGAAAACAACCCCCGACAGGCGGTACTTTTCGTTTAAAGGGGCTACGAGGGCCCCAGCACAGACTCAGAGCCCCACAGACCCAACATCCCATCCCAGCCCATCCCATCCCATCTCTCCATCACCCAACAGAGATGTACGTGTACATAGTCATGGACAAAGATAATAATAATGATAAAATAAATAAGAAAATGAAAGGAGAAAAAATCGAAAGACCCGAGTCTGAAGTCTGGGTGCCGCCATTACAGCTTTGCCTTTGCCCTTACTTTTGCCACCCTTCAGGACATTTTCCTCCCTCGCATCCTCTAAGTAAGTCAAAGCAAGCTGAGCAGCTTCCAAAATGTCGGAAATTTCTACACACCATCGTGTCCCACTCCACTCTCGATCCCATTCCCATCCCAGCATCCCCATCTTGGTCGTCTTGTTGTCTAGTGCAGAGCCCTGCTTTCATCTTGGCAATTTCTTTTCGCCATCATGGAAAAAAGGGACGCAGGCAGGAGGCAGCAGGGAGGAGGGGCCAGGACACCATCATCATCATCAGGAGGAGGACCGTCTTTAATAATATCTAAACAGGGCAGGAAACCCATACCCATGGTCCTACTCCCACTCACTTAGAGACCCTTGCAGCAAACAGCGTCGTCAACTTATTTTCAATTTCAATTTAGTAGATTTTTTCACTCATAAGACGTTGGCATCGTGTCCTTAGCCCGAAGCAAAGATGGTGAAGGGGAGGAGGAGATGGGAGCTGGGGTCTGAGTCCTGGGTCCTGGGTCCTGGATGGGGGTTTTCCATTTAGCTCTCTGCCTTCTTATTTCATCATTAAGCTTCGTTTTCTTCCCGCCGAGGGTTTTTTAAAGTGAAACTTAAAGGCTCCTTAAGCCCTCTGCCGTCTGCCTTTAAGAACTTAAATAATAATCCCCGACCAAATTTGTTCCTTTCCTCTGCAGGTCTGGTTTCAGAACCGACGCGCCAAGTACCGGAAGCAGGAGAAGCAGCTGCAAAAGGCCCTGGCACCGTCTGTGATCCCATCCTGCAACGGGATGATGAGGAACATCCAGGGCTACAGCGTCTCGCGGGGCTACCAGCCGTATCCGCACCACAACACCATGAACCGCTATCCCCAGGTGAGATCCTATATCTATCTATACTCCTACAGCATATTTTATAAATATTTTCTGTATAATCTGCAGGACCTGTTCCAAATGGGCGCCTCCTCCTATCCGGGCATGACACAGCCGTTCTCCATGGCGCACAGCACGAACATGGGATCCGTTGGAGTGCGTCAGGACTCGATGGGTTAGTAGGGAGGATCTAATCCTAGCACTCACCCAAGCTCCCGGGATCACTCTGGGGCTAGAACACTATTACTATCACTTTCACTGACCACTTCATGATCCGCTTCTGACCATGGTTCGATTCGAAATGATTGATTGGTCTGGATCGGATCTGGAGATCGGACTGTTGTAGTTCCCGAAATATTCCGAGATTTCCCGAGCTTCCCCGAGCTGCGCCGAGTGGCCGAAACGAGGCCTTTGCGCGAGGGAATCTCAGGTTGTGTAGAAAGCTTCTCCCCGAATACCGCATGTCCCCCAAATCCCCAAGTTCCAAATCGAATCCCTAGTCCGTAAGTAAATTTCCGCTGCAAGCGTCTGGAGTCCGAGTTTGTTTATCGGGGGAGGCGCCTTCACATATTGGGTTACTGAGCCGAAAGCCAGGCGATTCTCGTAATCAGGCGTAAACAAATCAAGTTCTCACCAACTCAAGAGGGTGGGGAGGCTACTTTTTGGAGGTGACCTGCCGGATGTTAGGGAGGAGTCGTAGTAGAGCTTGGCCAAAATCCATAAGAAATAGTGAAATGAATTTCCGGCAGGTTAAGAAATCGTTCTTCCAAGTCAGTCGTGTGTGTGACTTTAGGTGGTCATTAGCTGGGAATTTCCGCAGCACGGAAATGCAAGGTGTCTAGAAGAATCCAGAGGTACACATGTACATTTCTAGGGAAACTTTAATATTGTAACTTGCGATGATTTGGCTAAGCGTTGATTCTTAGTTTCGATTGGATAGCTTCAAATATTTAGATATTACAATTATGTCATTCAAACAGTGCCTGTGTGGCAAATGGCTGTGCATTGATTCTCAGTTTTGAGTGGATAGCTTTGTATATATAGATAACAAATTAAAATAGCACTGATTCTTACTACTGATTGGATAGCTTCATATGCATATAAAAGAAATTTTAATTTATAGGTTTCAAGTGGATGTGGATGTGTAGTGTCGATTTGATAGCTTTATATATACATGATAGTTGCTCTATAATAATCGCTTTCCCTTCATTTCTTTGCAGGCATGTCTCCGGAGGACGAGTGGTACAACAAGAGTCTGTCCGCCCTGCGGATGAACTCCTCGCATCATCCCAACCTGTCAGCCCCAATGCTGCAATACCAGACATAATCAAAAACCTTTGACGACTTCTTTTAAAAGATCGCACCTTAATTGGCCTTTAAGGTGCGGTGTTTTAAGAGGTAGTGCGTCAAACGTAACGTCCTGTAACATCCACAAAATATTTCTCTGTCTATATCCTATGCATATATCGTGTATATATGTACATAGTATATATACCAGTCATTAGTTTCCAGCCCCAGGATGTGTGCAGATCGTAGCAGATCATTTTGAGTTCCGGAGCGAAATCGTTCAATGTCTGGGCGGGGTTTACTCATAAGACTTGTTGATATTATTCTGTTTTTTTTCTACACATATTTTTTTTACATTTTTTTTTGGACAAACGAGATCCAAATCGAATAAGAGGGGCAAACATATTGGGGTAGTGCCAGAGTCGGAGGTAAACAAATACGAGTGGATGGTATTGTAATAGGCAACTAGTCATAGTATCTAAGCAAATTGTGTATTGAGATTTTATCGTGGCATTATAAAAAGTAAATTAAAAGCATAAATCGTGCGTATATATATAAATTTAAATAAATACACTAAAATATGTACTAGCGATAGCATATAAGTCAGGTTGCTTAGCCCCAGTCTGGTCTGATATGATATGATCTGATCGGATCTACTCCTAGTTCCAGTCTCCCAAGCATGCAACTCTTTGGTTGCTTCTACCGACTCTTTATTGCCTGCTCACTATTCATTAAACATAGCTTACTCAAACATACGACGTACTTATAGCTCCCCCACCCAAATCCTTCCATCTGACCCCATTCATAGACCCAAAATGCACAGGAAACCAAGCCAATCCCAAACGAATAACACTAAAACCCCTCTAACTAATTCAAGGTGTGTCGAACTAATTATAAGATGATTTTTTTTAGCTAAGCAATGCATTAACGAGTTATATTTAATAATAATACTAAACGAAACAAAAAACAAAACAAACTGAAACCAATAAAATACATCACCTATATATATTTAAATACGAAAAAACAAGAAGCCAAACGAAAACTACAAGACGCATGTTTAACAAATTATGCCAGACACAGCAAGAATGGAAATAATAAAAATATTAAAAACAAATTTCGCCAATGCATTATTATTTATTTATTTTTAAATCGAAAGCAGGTGCATAAGGAAATGTTGACGTAATTTAAATGAACCCAATGGTGAAATGTAATATTTTTTAAAACAATTTCTCTTTGCCACTGTATTTTCATAATCTAAACATTTTATTTGTATGGTAGTGTAAAATATAAGAGACTACAGATTTTTTCATTGCCTACATCTGAGCGTTCAGGTTTATAAAATAAGGAAATTTTCTGACAAAATTGATCTGCACTTCCGAGTTTCACGGCTAATTTCTTAATCTTCGACACCAGGCCAACATAAACCGTAGAAAGTGACTGCTGGGCTATAACATTTTCGTACTGGAAGACAACCGTTAATTCAGTATAAGGGACTAGAGGTGGGGCAATCGCTTGATCGGCAACAAAGGCCCTAAATATTTATGAGCGGCACACCTCTAGTTGAGCCATAAAACTTATCGTTGGCCACCTACGAACTTTCCTGTTCACCTGGTGCTTCAAATTGAGAAATCACTCATTTACTTCAACAATTTGAAAGGATTCGTAACTTATTTTCTGCCAAAGTGCTGGATTTATTGGTCTCAGACACCAGGCAAACAGAAATCATAGCAAGAGGCAGCTGGTAGTCAAAAGTGAACTTAAACAGCTGTTCATTTTCAAGATGGCGGCCCTTTTCATATTTCCCCTCCTCCCACTGACCAATAGGAATTGATCACCATGGGAAGGATCCGTTAGTTCAGAGCCAAGCCAGACCAGAGATGAGCAACAATCGCCGTTTCACAAGATGATCACGAGCTTGTCACGATCTTGTCACGAGCTTGTCGCGAGCTTGTCACCTTGTCGAAAGGAAGCAGTCACTAAGGCATCTCTAAGTAAGCTTGGATTAACCAAATCAGCTGATCGTTTTACACCTACTAAACGTTTATGTTCGCCTGGTGTCTGAAATAAGAATTCTGGCAATTCGACAATTTGCTAGACGAGCAAACATGGTATTTTGGATTTCTGATTTCTATTAATTGGCATTTAAATTTTATTGTTAATCGGTAATGAATTAAATTAAAAACGTAATGAGGGCTGAAATGTATCATGAATTTCACGATTTTTGTGTTGCTAAAATTGGCGTTAAATTACCTTTACAAGGTTTCACAGAAAACAATTAATAAACTTATTTTTGCACCTTTAACTTGCGAAGGTTCATCGTTTAATATACAGATAATGCTTAGTGCCTCTCGACAAGAGATTTTTAGATAAAAGAGCTGAAATACCGACTGTTTTGAGCAGCTAACAATTCAATATTCCGACTTTTCTTCGCAAAATGATTGCTAAAATACCTAGTTTTTTTTGGGTGTCATTTTTCAAATTCTCCATCGGCAGCAAGGTGTAAAATGTCAGCCTTTTGTGTATCACCATATATGGTTGATGTAAATAAATTCAAAGTTTTTACGAATCTGCTGTCGATTAAAGAGTCCCATAAGGAGTGTGGGAGCCCAAGTTCTGGCTCTTAGGTTGTTCACTTGTGCTGGGTGAGAATGTTTTTCAACCGGCTGAGGAGTATTCCCTGCCTGGGCGGTGGCAGGAGGAGGAGAAGGAGCAGCAGCAGCTCCTGCGAAGAGATCCTGCCCAGGGAGCCGGTGGTGCTCAACGTCTACGACCTCGTCGATACAAATTACTACACCATGGCGCTGGGCGTAGGCTTCTTCCACTCGGGCGTCCAGCTCTATGGCCGCGAGTACGGCTTTGGGGGCCACGAGTTCCCCATGTCGGGCATCTTCGAGATCCAGCCCTGCAACGGGCAGGCCGAGCTGGGCGAGCACTTCCGGTTCCGGGAGAGCATCCTGCTGGGCTACACACACTTCAGCAGCGCCGACGTGCAGCGCATCGTCGACCAGCTGGGCCTCCAGTTCACCGGGAACAGCTACCATCTGACCAGCAAGAACTGCAACCACTTCTCGAACAGCCTGGTCCACATCGTCTGCGGCCGGAAGATCCCCGGCTGGGTGAACCGACTGGCCTACCTGGTCACTTGCGTGCCTTTCCTTGAGCGCTGCATGATCCCCAGTCCGTCACAGCACCAGTATCGCCAATCCTCCCCTCAGCATTGAGTTATCCGGTTACTGACCCAATTAAATTATATTTGCTCTAAGTTTTCTTCCTTTTAAATTTGGGAACGGGAGTGTTCTATACTAAGGGAATATTTGAATAAATTTAAAGTCAAAATACAGTTAAAAACATATGATAGCAAAAGAGGTGCATTTCATATATGGTTAAGTGTCCAAACATTACGAATATTATGGTACAAAGCGCATATAATTGTGCAATTGACATACAATTCAAGATTCGCTCTTAACGAATCAGATCATAGAAAACCCTTATGACAAACAAAATGTTTTGTGTTTATGTTTATGTTTATTATTAACAACTCATTGGACACCGACTCCTCCAGACCGAATCCGAGATGTTCATACTACTCAGACCACTTTTACTAAGAACAGGGAAACCGAGTCTTAGAGCTCAGCAGATACTTAAGATCCTAGGATTTAGTAAGATAGACCTAACCTGGCCTGACCGCATGTTCTTCGTGTTACATAGTCGGTTTTTTGCTTAGACGAATAGCGCTGGCTGTATACATTTGTCGCCAACTGTGTTTAGTTACATAATAGTTAATTAGCCTAACAGAAACTCGTTGCTGAAGTGGTGAGGCCGGATGGGTGATTTTCCAGATTGTTTGTGGGTGGATCCCAAGGAATCTGCTATATGCTAAATTATTTCACGAAAAAAATCGACAGTAAAGTTAATAATTTACACGTGCATAACTCATTATCATAATGTTACATACAAAATCGGCACTAACTTTCCCTACTGCTGTGTGCACTAATCGTTAGTTTTGTGTGGTCTTCGAAGCCCCGACCCCGGCATAGGAAAGTATCTACCCGATGAACCCATTAAAAATAATCTCTGACCTGTGCAGCTGTTGTGGGAGATGAAGTATCCCACCGTCCCCCGCTGGTTTTCGCCCGTTTTCCAAGCTTCAGAGTCAAAGATTGCGTGCTTCTGTGTTTAAAGTATTTATGTTTATACGATCCTCGGTTCAGGGGTAACATTAGTCGCTTCAATATTACCCGAAATAGAAACAAACTAATTTCTAAGAGCCTAGTTTAAGCCGTGATGCTGTTTCATAGTAAATGCGTCCCAGGATTTATAGACAATTGAAAAAAAAAAAGGAATCCGGCAGACTGCACCACTCTTGGAAGTGTGTTTCCAGCGGGTCGCGCTTACACATCTTCCTGGCGGCTGCCCATCAACACCAAGCTATCCTATGTACCGGTATATATATTTATGCGTGTATATATATCGGGAGTGAACACATCCGCCTCCTCACTTGCCCAGGAACTCTGCTCCGCCGTTGCCGCCGCTCAGCGCGACCTTCTTGGCCGGTGGCTGCTCGGCAGTGGCCTGTAAATGGGGAGGAGTAGGAAAAAGGTTAATAAGAGAGTCCATCGGAGCCATTCTGAGCAGCACCTACCATTACGGTGCTGTCCCGCTTGCTTGAGGGATTGGCGGCTGGGCTGACACCCGCCACAGTATTAGCTCCCGATGCCACGGCAGCGCTCGCAGGATTGGACTTCAGAGCCGACGGCAGCTCCTCGCTGGATTTGGATGCGGGCACAGAGCTTGCGCTGGACAGAGACGACGAACCGGGGGCTCCGGCTGGTCCAGTGGTGACCACATCGCTGCTCGAGTTCGTGGCCGCGTCGGACTCGTCCGCGATGGTGATTGTAGCACTGCTTGTGGTCTTGTTGCCGGCGGTTGGACCGGCAGCAACGGTGCCGCCAGAGGCTGTGATGGAGCTGCCGCTGGATGCCACAGTGGGCGAGGCATCTGTGGCTTCGCCACCACCACTCTTGAGCGCAGCCGTCGTCCCCAGCACCGGCTTCTTGTGGTCCTCCTGCTTGGGCAGCGACTCCTGGCTGGGGTCGACGACGACGGTTCCGTTGTTACTGGCCTCGGTGGACTGCTTCCTGGCGGCCGTCGCACTCAGCGCGGCAGCGGAGTCAGCAGCACTGGGTGCTGATGCGGTCGCCGAAGCAGCCACTGCTGCTGCTCCTGCTCCGTCGGCAGCCAGCTCGTTCTGCTCGTTCTCCGGACCCGACTCCTCAGACTTTCCAGCCTCGTACTCCTTGACGATCTGGTCAAGATTGTAACGGCGCCGATTGTTCACAAAGAAGGTACGCACATGCGCCTCCGTCTTGGTGGTCACCAGCTTGGCAATCATCTGCAATCGTTAAAAAGTGATTAGTTGATATTCAGCTGCGTGGTGGGTGAAGATTGATCCCACTTACAGGAAAGTTTTTGCCGTACTCGCGTAGCGCCAGCAGAGCCACCTGGATCTCGTCCGGCAACCATCGAGCGGAGATCCGTGGCTGAGCAGGTTCGGAGGAGTTGCCCGCCGCCGGCTTGGCGACCACATCCTCGACGTTGATGGACTCGCACTCCTTGTCCAGCTGCTCCATCAGCTGCCTATTCTTCTGTATCTGCAATGGGTTAGGGTGCAGGGGGGCATTCAATTGAAAGTTGTCAGTGGGTCCAAGTCGTACAACCGGGTGTGGATAGTGTGTGTGTGTGTTGTTGTGGGTGGGTGCTTGTGATGGGTGGACATGGGATGCGGTGAATGAGATCTGTGAGTAGGATTCTGTGGTGCCTTAAGTCACAGGAAACCTAAACTAAATGGGGTTTAACCTCCCTTTTTAAAGTATTGTTACATGTATTATATTAGAACTTCAAGTTAACGAACGAGTTGTACTGAAAACAGGGTCTGGGAATCTGCTGTTCAAGCATTCCAGGTAATGAATACATTGTTAACGACATTAGAGATTATAGTGATGTTAAGGTAACAGATGGAATGGCTATAAAAGTATCTATTTCAATCCATATTTCTTCTATTTTTTTAATAAATCATCCTTTTATCGTTATACATTTCTTAGTTCAAAACTGTTT